CTTATCTTCCAAACTGGAAGTTTTATAAAATAGGGTGGATTTTGATTTGGTTTTTGTGCTTTTATTTTGTTTTTGTTTTGTTTTGTTATTGTCCTTCAGTGCTGTTGCCATGCTCTCAAGAAGAGCATATACCAAAACATAAAAGTTAACTGACACACTTGAAATTTGAAATAAAGCATTTTACCTTATTGCACCCCAGTTCAGTTATCTGAACAAACAGAAATCACACGACTGTATTTAACAGAAAAAAAAAAAATCAGAGGCCTATATACTGTTGTTTATTTTTATTTTAAATGTAATTTTATTATTGTTTTTGCTTTGAAGTAGGGTTTTCTGGTATAATTCTGGCTGACCTGGAATTCACTGACTACCCAAGATAGCCTCAAGCTTGCAGCAGCGCTCCTGCCTCAGCTCCCCAAGGGAGGAGATTGTAGTACAAACCATCATGCCTGTTGTCTGTTTCCAAATGCATGTTATATAAAGAGAGAGACTACTTTCTCCATTTTAATTACTTCATTCAACTGTTCAAGCTTTCTTTATTTTTTCCCTAAGCGATGTGTCAGTAAAATTGATAATTTGCAATAGCAGCTATAGTCTTCCAGGGCAGTTAATATTGTACTGCAGTGAGTACTATGATAGTGATAAGTGTGTGCATGGCATTTTGTTTTGCTTTCTGATTTTTGAGGCAGGATCCCAATAGGCAGGCCAGGGGACAGCCTTGGACACTTCTTGTAGCCCAGACAGGTTTTGAACTCTTGATTTTGCATCTTAGTTTCCCAAGTTCTAGAACTACAGGATGCAACACCATGCCCCATGCTACTGATTTGCCTCATTTCAGTGTGTATTTTCCTAGTCATATTAAACAGAAATTAACAAAAACAAACTAAACAATTCTAAAATATAAGATTTGGGATCTCAAAGTGGGCTGCTAAGTCAATCTATAATATATCCCTTTGCAATAAGACAGCAATTGTGGCCTTGAGGAAGAATAAAAAACTAGTCATGAATGCTAATGACTTTAACTGACAAAGATTTCAGACATGTTTTTCTGTGTATTTTGTATGTTGAAAATCATTATCAAATGAAAATTTTTCAAGAATTTACTCATGGTTCAGTCTATTTTTACCTTTGATTTCTTCTTTACACTCAACTTCTTTCTTTCCAAATCTTTGGCTTTGTATGTCTTTGAAACTCACATTAATAAAAGAGAGAGAGAAAGAGAGAGAACTTTTCACAATGTATTTACTTTTTAAAAATTATAATGTTTCCATAAAACACACATGTAAATAGTCTGTAATAATTGAGCTATTTCACCTTGAAGACTTAAGTGGGGAGGGGGGTGGGCAGGGGTTACCCTGGGAAGAATGGACAAAATGAGCTGAAAGCATAATATAGTTCTAAAACTTCAGGAATACAAAACTTTGTAATTAGAGGTAAACATGGGACTCAGTCTGAAATGTTGAAGTCAATAGCTCTTCTGAAACTCCGTAAGAATTTTGTCCCTGCAAGCAAGTATACATGGAGGTTACTGTAAACTTCAAAATGAACCAAAAAGAATAAACACCAATTTTATGGCTGTTTAGAAACAAGTGTCAGTTTTCTCCTTTTATATGATTTCACTTAAAGATGGCACATTTGCTGAACTAAAATTCTAACTACCACACCAATCATTCATTTATCAACTAAGTGAGCAAGCGTCCACATTCATTCTTAAAAGCTCACACATAGGAAGGGGAAATTATTACTTATGGAAATCACTTTTACTCCGGATCCGAAATCATGGTGCGTTGCACATTCCAATTATTCCATTGATTATCTCTGGTATGGAATGGGAGGGGGATAAATAAACAAAAACAATTGAAAAGTTCCTTGCTAGGTAGCTCTGTTGGAGCACAGCTCAGTCGTGCTGTCACTGGCCATGGTGCTGAAATTGCTGTGCAGCACACTGAGACAAGAGGCTAGCTGTCTGAAGACTTTCAGGAAAAGTGAATTCAAGGATGGGGAAAGGAACGTAAAACAGAAATTTCAGCTCTCCCAAACACAGGAATAAAACCAAACCACCAATGTCACCGTACCTACAGTCACAGACTCTCCTGTTAAAACACCACATGCCAATGTTCTCATCCACACCAATGGCATGCATTTCATTCTATCTAAATGGACACTTGGATCTTGCTTGTTTCTGAGACCTGTGCCTTGTTTCAGTTTTAGAAGTGCCCCATCCACTCATTTCCCATTTACTTCCACAACTATTTGTTCTGTCTGGAAATAATAATCAGTCTCTTGGAGCATTTAATCCTAACTTGAGCCGGTATAACAATTTTCATAAATCTGTTGGTTGTTTTCCAAGCCTCTTCCAAATAAAGAAACATCCCATAGAAGTTTCATATGGAGAGGGCCAATACAGGAAGGAAGATTTATCCCCAGAAAGTGTAAGGACAGGTCATTACCTGCTTCTTTTTCTTGTTTGAGCTATACATTAACATAATGTTCTCATGGCAATTAATTCCAAGCACTATGGATGATGTTAAAATACAAATCAGAGTATTACTAGAAAAATAAAGTTTGAAAGCCCAAAACATTGCTCAACTATTCTGGAGAGTCTGAAAATTATTATAATGGAAGAGGAGGTGTCTTAAAGTAGGACCAGAAGAGGAAGTGCCTGAACCAAATAGGCAGAATTCCATAGCCACATCAACCCTTAATAGACTTCCTCCAGTTCATGTGTCAGACAAAGTCACAAAAAAGGGGGGGGCAAAATGTGTTCCTTTAACTACCCAAGATTTCCTTCTCTGCTGGTGCACCCTGTCTATGGCAATAATACTATTTTCCTTAAAGATTATGGGGACTAGAAATAGACAGAGATGGAGGACACAAGACAGACTTTTTTCATCTGACAAAAACCTGGGTGCTTTCTGCTGTAGCTTGGGCCATTAATATCTGGGACAGGGTGAAGAACTAAGGGGAAAGAGGAAGGAACTCCTCTCCTCACTCACCAAGTCCTGCCCCCACCATTGCCACACCCAGCCTCCCACTGCTTCTGAAGTGTGGGCTGCATTCCTTTCTTCCTTTGCCCCATGGGAGGTGGTAAGGAGTGGATGAAATAGTTTCCATCTGACCTTGGCTTTATAAGATTCTCTTTACAGAAACATTTCAAGTTTGGAAAAGGGACTCTGGAGGAAGTATCCAGAGTCAGACACCATGATTTCATCTAAGCTAAAAAGCAAAGTGCCCTGTGAGATGAGCTCTGTCATTAGCATGGTATTATAAAGCCTGTTCTTTTATACTTTCCCGGGGAAATGCCTTTTGCTAAGTCCGAGCCATGTTTTAACTGCAGCCCTTCTCTGTGTGCTATTTCTTAAAAGAATAAGCGCCAAAATAATTCCCACATAAATGATTAAAACAGCATCACGTTTTAAAAGTCATTTAATATTAATAGCATATTTTAATGAAAAAAAAGCAGCATACTTTGCCAGTAAAACATTAAAATCATCTCATTGGCGAAAGACACTCAAACGACACCCAAAATAACTTAATACATTTCTAGAGTAAATAAACAATCTATTAACAAAAACAAGAAACCAGGTCATATACAGAATTCAGTACTTTGGAGAGCCTCAAATGGATCAGGAAATACAGCAAATTTTGTAAGAATATATCAATATGTGCATCATTTTGAATGAAATATTTACAATAGATAAGGTACCAGTCACTGTGTACCTATTTGTGTGTGTGTGTGTGTGTGTACTCCAAAAGGGTTCTACAAAACAATGTGAATTTACAAGCAGTGCACTGTCTAATAGTGCAAATTCTTTTTTTCCTACAAACAAGCCTCCTAAAAGGAAAAACTGAAGAATTCCTATAAAGTCAAAATGTAGCAACAAAGCAATTGAAAACTGGAAGATTGAAATACCTTAGTGAAATCTTAGACCCCAGCAGAGCAAGCACCAAGTGGAAAAGGTACCTAAGGCTGGAGAAGGATGCACTGGTCATCAGTCATGCTTCCAACTGCTTCTTCTCCTCAGTTAGAGGTGTGTGTGTGTGTGTGTGTGTGTGTGTGTGTGTGTGTGTGTATGTGTGTGTGTGTAGGCATGTAAATGTGAGTGAGAGAGCAAGTGTGTCTTTGGGGACATTGTGGGAATCCCCATTAAATATGTAAGGAAGTAAACAAGACTTCGGACAGTGAGCCAGGTCTACATGATTAAGACATCCATTACGGAGTGTCAACTCACAGATCAGAACACTACCAGTTAAAACAAAGGGAAAAAACGACCTTCATTCAAAGTGAGAATATACAGACGGGCTAGAGGGAACACAGTCCAAGAGACACTGTAAAAATCCAGTGAACACGCCAGCTATATGTATTCCCCGGTTTTATTTTCCAGACTAAAGAAGTTTAATTAATTAGGATGTGCACAAAATTAAGTTGCCAGACAGATAAATTAATAATTTACAGAGGGTTGTTTGGCAATAATCTAATAATAGCTGTCAGGATCAGTGAACACAGCAGGCGCAAACCCTTCCTTTAACCATTAACACTTCGGATCGGGAAGAAAGCGATAAGAACCACAATAAAAATATATATATATAATATACAGTGTAAACGCAGAAAATCTGCCATCTTTTTAAAATTCAAAATACTTTAGAGATGTCTCTATCATATCACATTAAGCATCAACTCTAACTTGGAGTTTCAGTCCTGAATCAATTTCTATTTCTGAAAAATAGCTGCAAAGTGTACATTTAAACGTGAACAAGGGTGATGTCTGTAAGAATAAAAACAAATCTTACTTGCTCTTTCTTGCGAGGTTTTCAAAAGCTTGTCCCTCTGCCTTCCCGCTGACAGCCAGCTCCACGCTTCCTTTGACGAAGCCGAGCAGCCCAGCCGAGGTGCGGTTAAAGGCGACAAGTCTGCTACAACTTGGCAAATTCCATCTTTTGTTTTTCTTCAGTTTGCGGAACCGGTTCGCATTCTCTCTCAAGTGGGCTCAGTTGCTTGCTCCCTTGCTCCTGGCTTACTCTGGGTTCACATTTACCGGAATTGTTTCTGATAGCCAAAGTAGAAAGAAAAGAGGCAGAGAGAAGAGGGGAAAGAAAAGAGGACGAAGGAAAAGGGCCATCCCTGAAGTAGGGTCCCTAAATGCCGGCGGAGTATTTCATTCTCTTCTGTTTCTGCCTCTGGTTGCAGAACCAGACGCGCACCACATTTTTCTTGAGATCCAGCTTCTCAGCGATGGCCGCGATCTTCTCGGAGGAGGGCCTGGGCTGGATGGCAAAGTAGGCTTCCAGCGAGCGCTTTTCTGGCGCGGCGATAGATGTGCGCTTGCGCTTTTTCTCCGCGCCGTTGAAGAGCTCTGGCTTGGTAAGCTTCTCACGATGGGATTTCTCGGCCTCCTCCAGCCACGCCTGCAGGATGGGCTTAAGCGCGATCATGTTGTTGTGCGACAGCGTGAGAGACTCGAACCTGCAGATGGTGCTCTGGCTGAGCGAGCCCACGCCCGGGATCTTGAGGTTGGCCAGTGCTGAACCTACATCTGCCTGGGTCACTCCCAGCTTGATGCGTCGCTGCTTGAAACGCTCGGCGAACGCCTCCAGGTCCCGCGGGTCTGCATCCACATCGCTCATGCAGCCCATGTGCGAGGGCAGCCCGTGAGCGTGGGCCATGCTCAGGGCTGCTTGGTGCATGGGGTTCATAGTAGCCATGTGCGGTGCGTGAGCCGGAGTGGACACCACGGTTCCGTCGGGGCCTGCCATGGCTCCCAGGGCCAGCCCAGGGCTCAGGTGCTCAAGCAGCTCGCCCTCCAGCGCCTGGTGCGGCTGATGGTGATGGTGGTGGTGGTGGTGGTGGTGGTGGTGGGTGCCTGCCAGCGCGGAGGGGTGAGAGATGGGCACAGATGAGGAGGAGGCGGCCGATGTGCACGGGATGGTATTCATGGTGTGGTAAGTGGCGTCCGGCTTGAAGGGGCTGTGGTGGGGCGGATGGTGGTGGTGGCTCTTACTCTGGGAGACGATGTCCACGGCGGCCAAAGCCTCGGCACGGGCCAGCAGACTCTCATCCAGCCCGCCGAATATATTGCTCTGCAATTGTAAGTAGAAGGAACACATTACGCTCAGCTGGGAATTGTGCGCGCTCTCTCCGGAAGCGCCGGCCCAAGGCTCGCCACCGCCACTGCGCCTACAACATTCCCAGAACGTTAAAATAATAATAACGACAATGATCCTGAAATTCGGCAGTAAGGAAAGAAGGAAAGCCTCCGCGAGAAGCCAAGGTGCAGGGGGAGAAAAGTGAACCACAGACAACACAACACAACACAACATGCGCGCAGGCAGCATCCCAGGTCATAAAAATTAATATGAAAGGCAAGACCCGCTGAATACTTAAGAGGGGGGGGGGATTGGTTGGAGGTGTGGGGTGATTTGCTGTGCAGACATGAAAAAAACATCAAGCAGATAAAGGAGGCTGTCAAAATGTGCCTTTAAGCGGTGATTATGCAGACATACGCACCGGTGGGGTTGGAAGACAAGCTCTCCGCATCGCCTCGGAGCCCCCGCCGCCACTGCCGCTGCTGCTGGAACTGCTGCTCCGGCCTCCGCCGCCTCCGCCCCCGCCGCCGCCGCCGCCAGCGTTGCTGGAGCTGCTAGGGGAACTCGCCGAGGGCGCCGCGGACGCGGAGGTGCCCGGGGAGGCGCTGTGCAGCGCCGAGTACTTGGGCTCCACGTGCAGGCTGCCCGCGTGCGGCATGCTGAACGCCTGCTTGCTGTTCAGGGACATCATCATCATCCTCCCTCGCGCGGAGCGCTTGTCGCTAGCGCACTCTGGTCCCAGCTACCCGGACTCTCCGGAGAAGTGCCCGGCCGGAGCAACAGAGGAGACAGCACTACAAAGTTGTGCTCAGCAGCCGCCGCCTCCCGGCTCTGTTCGCCTAGTCCCGGAAGCTAGCTCCGCTCCAGCGTCGCCTGCTAGTTCTATAGGAGCTGTTGCCCTGCTCCGGGTGACGCTGGCTTCAGACCTAAGCGCCCCAGAGTGTCCCAGTTCCTCGAAGCCGTGGAGTTATAGTCCCCTCTTCTCGCTCCTGTCCCCCGCCCGCCCCCCTTCTCCTCTCCCCCGCCCCCCCTGCCAGGGAACACTGGCTCCGGGTGGGTTTCTCCTTGCCCCGGCTGCCCCTGGGCTTCCCCCAGGCTCGGATCCTTTCAGTTCTCCCTGCACCAACCCTTCCGGCTCTGCTACCGGGCTCGTGGCCTTCTCTGCCCCAACACGGAGCTCTATGTAGCTACCCCTGCGACTGCTGCTTCAAATCGCACCCCCAGTTCAACCCCACCCAAACTGGGCAGGTCGGTGCTTAAGTCACCCGGCAGTGACAGTCACCTAAGTGCCAGCTTCCGCTCCTCCTGCTGCTTCTGCCAGACTTCCACCTCCCTAGGAAAAGAAACTCCCCTCAAAAGTTGCGTTTCAAGCCAACCTTGAACGCAACTGTCCCTGGACTGTGCGGTGCACCTTACCTGGCGACCTGCTCTCCTGCCCCCTGCTTACCACTAAGTTTCAGGGACCCTCCCCTCCCGGCAGCTCCAGAGCCCCAGATTCCCCAGCTGCGGACCACTGCTGCGGATCTGCGGCTAACTCGGGTCCTCGGCTCTGCTGAGCCCCGTCTTGATGCGTGCTGAGGTCAGCCCCTGGCTTCGCGCCCCGCCGCCCGGCGGGTGCCTAATGCGGAAAGACGTGGATCTGCCCGGCTGAGAGGCTTTCTCTCCCTCGATTTCCCTCAGCTCTCAGCGGATTGGACAGCCGCACAGCCCGCTAGGGTCGTCTGTGCGCATGCGACTCCCCCCTTTATGGGCATGTCCCCCTCCAACACATGCACATGTTCCTCTCCCCCCACCCCTTTTCTCTTTTTCCACCTCCTCCCTATGTCCAGTACAGGGTGAATTGGGACTTGGGAGGATCCCCTGGCAAACCCTGACTCTGGATTTATTATTCTTCATTAGCTACAATCAAAGGAAAAGGAGCAACTGACAGGAGGAGAAAGGCCAGAAATACAGAGCGCATGTCTGCCGAATACCACCACCACAACACACACACACACACACACACACACACACACTCACACACACACCCTCCCTCCCTCCGGGGCTGGCATAAGCCCCACTTATCTTCATTTCCACAGCTGCTGCTTGCAGAGACTATTTTTAGCTTACTCTTTGCTAGCACTTTTGTGCTAGTGAATACCACCTTTCCTAGAAGTGGACACACACTCTGAGTTCCAGTTGCAAAAGCAAACAGTGTGTCCCCCTCCCCAGTCCCAGCCCTCAAATACAACCTATATACTCCCCTTCATGTTTCCATCCTTCCTCTACTTCCTGTAGAGGTTTGGGGCTACTCTCACCTCCCCAGAGCACGGAAGACACAGGGTGCAGATACGGGGGTGAGAATCTGCCGGTGGCGGATCCGGGACAGGGCTGGCCCGAAGCAGATGCAGAAACTAGGAGCTTGGGAAGTCGAGCAGGTACGAGAGCAGGCGACAGGCCTAAGAGGCACTGGTGCGCGCTGGGACAAAAAAAAAAAAAAAAAAAAAAAAAAAAAAACCAAAGTGGAGGGCAAGCCCGGACAGGGAAGCCCTCTGGGAGTCAGCACTCGGAAGCCCTGCGGCAGTAGCGGCAAGTAGGGAACCGCCAGTCCTCCCTTGATCAACCTCATCCAGGCCAGAGAAGCAGGTTCAAGTTGGATACGCTGTGGTCGGAGTTCACCAAAAGAAAGCCTCAATCTTAATTAACTGCGCGACCGGCTCTGTCCGTGGTTCTAAAATCTCTGCAGCTTTTCTTCTCCAGTCTGGAGCCAGCATTTCTTTTTCCTTGCATAAAGGAAAATAAACAGTAGCCAAAGGGGATTTCTGCTAGCTAGCCGTGTTCTCTACTGAGAGCCTGAAGAAGCCTGGCTATGGGACTCGGAGGGGGGGGGGGGTGCTGACATGAAGGAACGGGGCTGTGCAAGGCTGTTCAAGTAAGTGCTTAGGTGTTTAATTTCTACCTCAACAGTCAAGGTAATTTTCAAGGAAATAAAAAAAATAACATTGTACAGTTCTCACTGTCTCAAGCTTCGCAAAATGAAATAAATCAAAGGTAAAAGCTTGAGTATCATTTAATTATAGTGCGAATAGCGCTTTGAAAGAAGTAGAACAGCATCTCTAAACAAATTATGACCCAGCCAGGAAGGAATTATTAGATTGAAATTTCATTTAGACTCGGGAGACACCGAGCTTCACTGTGTAATCTGCTATGCCTCATCTGATTTGTATGCTTAATTCAGCTTGACGAATTTATTAGTTTTCATAATAGTGAAAAAATGAGCAGCACTGTGGCCTGATGCTTTGTGTGTACTATAAATTGTATGTCATTGTGGAAAAGCTCTAGTCTATAGAAATCTTTTATTAATGTCAAAATACGAGAGAATTTTGTGCATGCCTTAGAGAGGTCCATGCCAAACTTCACTGCCAATGTGTCTCACTGGTCCATTAACATATCGTCATACTAATTAGACCACTTCATCAGTGATATAATTTCAAACTTGAAATTATGTTTTAATTAACAAGGGTTGTCCAATTTGCTTAATTTTCAAAAGGCTTTGGATGGTCTAATTAGTATAAATTGTTGAGCATCTCTAAAGCCTAATAAAAAACATCTATTAAAATATGTGGGTATTGAGTGGGTAAGGACCACGTGGCCAAAGAAATTTTGAGCAGAATTGGAAATAACAGAAAGACAAATGTTTTCATCCACCTAGTTTCCCTACATTGTTATAGGAATGAATTACAGAAAAAAGTTTGTGGTGTTTCAACTCCTAAATAGTATATTTATATGTATAAATAAAAGCACAAAGATACCATGGAGAAAGAGAGAGAGAGAGAGAGAGAGAGAGAGAGAGAGAGAGAGAGAGACTTGGGGAAAATTCTTCTCTTTCATTAGGTGTCTAATTAGGTGTAAAAAGCAACCCTGAGGAGTTGCCCAAATCCTATTGTGGCAACAGTCTGCTGAACTTGAATTGCAAAAATCAAATATTTGGGGGGTGTTTTGAACCTCTTTTTGTCCCCCCTATTTCACTGAGCTTAATCACTTGTAATAGGTGTATTAATGTATGTTGTCACCTGGGAGTATTGAGAAATGCATATCGTTAATATGAATTAATCTTGATTTTAATACCAACTGACAACTGATCTCTAAAATGCTAAGCACTTGTCACCACTTTATATGGTGAATAAAGTAGTATAATAAATTCATGAAATAGAGACGGCACTGTTGAACTGACTGAACAAACTTTGTTTGATGGAATCTATTGATTAAACTCTTTCTTTGAGTAAGAAAACTCCCATAAAACTATTTCCCTGATGATTGAATTCCATACACCATTAAATTCACCTTAAGTAACTTTTGTCATCTCTGAATTATTTTTCAGTGATATCTCTAACTCCAGATAAGAAAAGATTGCTACTCTTATCTAATTACCATGTGGAAGTTAATGCGATTGGGGAGAAACTGTGTCCTTCCTCCTGGAACCTATACCCTTCTCCTCTCTCGTAGGAAACACATGCATTTTTAAAAGTCAAGTCAGAGTTTGACTTCTTTTCCTACTCAAAGTGAAAAATGAACAACAGTGGTTGTGTTGCATTGGAGAGAAAATGCAATTCTTCCTTGATCACAGGACTTGCAATCTTACAATCTCTTCCTTCAGGAGTGGCTGAAATACCAAGGTCCTCATGGTGATATCAATAAAACCCATTTCAGGGTTGCCCACAGGCATTGCTGCAAAGAACGTCAGTGACTGCAGAATGTGGAAACGGCTCTTGGGAAAAGATTCCAGATCCACCCCACGCCCCACATTTAAACTGCTGGAAATAAACTCAGAGGGCAGGGAGGGAGCAAATGTATCTAGATTAGAATCTTGCTTAGGATGACTTTTGTCTGCAAACAATGCTACCAAAAACTCAGTGCCTGTGTCAACCTACACATCTACTCGAGATAAATGGGGGGGGGGGTTTGGAATCTTAAACAGAGGGTTGAGAAGTTTATTAATTGTGATTAGAGCAAGGGTTTCTCTCTTCTTACCCAGCCTCTTTGTTTGACAATAGCTTCTGTCCTGTAGGCTGGCTGGCAGGTGCAGACAGATGTGAACCTGCCCCCTCCAGGCGAAGAAGAGTCCACCAAGGATTCCTAGCAGCAGCAGCAGCAGCAGCAGCAAGATCTCTGCAGCACAAACTCCCCACCCAGAAATCGACTGATGCCCGAAGCCATCCCAGGAGGCCAAACCACTGTCTCCTCATTTCTGGGTACTAATTTACTAGTAAAATTTTAAGTAGTGCATTCATATTTTACTGGACTTAATGTGTTTTATTAAAATTTAATCTATTAAGGGCAGCATGATTTCTTTGTATTTCAAACAGAATTGAACTGCACTACAAGAAAGATTTCTCAAAAGACAGATCTGCCCTGTTCCGTATACCAATACAATCAAGCTAAATGAGCATGGGTAAGGCAAAGAGGATGCGGAAGTTCCAAAGTGGTCAGCAAACAAGCTTCAGATGCTGCATGGAGTATGAGCCCAGCAATCTCTCACTGGACACTGACTTGAGATGTGGGAGGGTGAAGAAACTTGGCTGTACCTAGGAGTGGGGACTTGAAACTTCTGGGGACTACCAAGGATCTGTTAAAAGATCCGGGAAGGACTCCTGGTAGACACTGAAAGAGAGGTAGGTGATTTCACTGAGATGGTTTCCCTTGGTTACCCTCCCCCCACGCCGGTGTTTTTGTTTAACTTTTCCTTTTAGAGGTTAGAAGCCTTCTGGTCACGTCGCGTACAGCAAGCACTTCCCAGAAGGTTCTAAAGAGATCACAGCCTCCTCCAAACCCCCCCCCCCACTCCTGAACCCACTGTGCAAAAAAAAAAAAAAAAAAAAAAAAAAAGGTCAAAATAACGTGGCTACCAAAGAGAGTGTAATGTGTGCTCAGGTAGGCAGGGGACTTACTTGGTCCTTAGCTGCTGAGAGAGTAACGAAAAGAATGAAAACAAAATGCTCCTTCTCTTTGTGGGGTGATGGTAATGGGGAATAGGGTAGCTGGCAGCCCCGGGGCTCATAGGGATCCCAGCTGTTGCCGCTGGTGGGTTTGCCGCAGCCAAGAATAGCAGGAACTTAGGAGACAGCTGATTGGACCCTCTCACAAGAGGAACCCTGGAAGCA